AGAATACTTTGCAGATGTTAAGCGCAGTTTATAATCAGAGGATTTACCTCCACGTGGTGCACCCTGGGCAACGTATACTCATACGGCAAAAAAGTCTATTATTCGGCAGTTGACTTCTGACTTCAAACTACCAAGACCCCACTGCATTTCATATTCGAATAATTTCACAGTACTCACCTCACCTTTTTCTACCTTTGTGTCTGTCTGTCTCTTTTACGTCTGTGAATCATTATTTTGTCCCCCTCTCGACGTTTTGCCACTTTACTGTTTATCTTCCTTTCTGTGAAGCCTGAAGTCAACTAAAGGGTTAATGATACCTATCATAACGCCTGCCATTTGAAATAAATAAATAATCAGAGGATGCCTTTAAATAAGCAAGCCATAGTGAGAGAAAAGTCGCTCAGAATTTTTTTCGTATTTGTTGACTTCATTTTATCGTTCTTTAGAGAACACCAAAATTTAAAACTTTCTAGAGTAATGAATATTCGTAGTCGAGGAATAACCATATACAATAAAACGAGCAAAATGAATGAGCCCTAAAACGTTAAGCATAAGTCCCCACTTAGCATTATTTCCATAAACAAATGAATGTCTAAAAATAAAAATTTCAAAATAACATCTTTCGAAAGTTTTGAAGACAAATGCTAGTAGTTCAGTTAAACAGGAATTATAGATTAGGCATATATACCAGGCTGTAGTCTAACCTACTTTGCAAATGAGCGAGAACTGTGAATAAGTTCCGCTTATGAACAATAAATAGTCGAAATGAAAATTACCCGGTTGTTTGAGTCTGCAAAACGTATACAAAAAGAGATTCAAACAAATCACAGTTCCCAGCCTTTCTTGACAACGATCTAATAATTTCCCTACTTATTTCAGTAAAAGTTTTACCTCATCTTGTTGCTGAAGCGGTTTTGAAGGGTTCCTAAGTCGTCGGAGGAGCAGAGAATTCCATTTTTGCCTGAGATCGCAAATTAAACGAGCCACTTCTAACTCACATTCATAGGAGAGTATGCCTGCAGATCCATCTAGTCGTAATATCACACTGCGCCTCTGGTCAACTCTGGAGGAATCCTGAATCTTCATTGGATTTTCTTCGGGGTGATATACGTTCAAAGTTTCAAGACGTGGAACCTCGGTACTGAAATTCCTTAATACTTGGTCAATATCAGCCATTGTAAGGGGTTGGTTTTGATGGGACACTTTGTTCTTGAGCAATTCGTAGTTCTGATGGTGGGATTCAGAACCTAGAAAGGATAATGAAATGATAATTTCCAGGTGCAAGGAATAAAGAATTATTTACTTTGAAGTAAAAGTTGAGTTGATATTTTCTAGTACTCCTTGTGATGGTACAAGCAATCTCTAGGAACTATGATATTTGTATAAAGTTGCTTAAAAATATTTTTTGAAGAAGTATGAACCTCAAATATTTTAAAAAAAGAAGAATAAAATGGTTCGTATTAATTATCAGAATTCACTGAATAGATTAGTAGAATTCTCATTGATTTTTCGTAGATACGTGTCTTAAAATTTCAACTTGCCTGTCTGTTGGCTATAACCTTAGTTTAGGAGTGGCCGACAATGTTAATTTTGCAGCAATAAGACTGCAAAAAATAATAAATGCCTTCAATACTTGGGTTTGATTGACACTATTTGAGACAACTCGAGCAGGAATTGGTTAAAATTGAAGCCTAATTATGGGAGCAGTATAATGCACATATTTGATGGCAAGTATTTGCTTATTATTAGTAAATAAATTAGAAGAACCGTTATAATCGAGTTTTAATTATAATCAAATCGGTAATTCTCGACAAGCTTGCTCAAATTAATAAAAAAATCCAATTGGTCAATTTTATAACTTCTATTTTTGTAGATAGCGAAATTTGCATGCAGAAAAAGAGGTAGCTACTTGAGCCATTTCCATAACTAAAAGTGGGAAAATCACTGACCTGCAATTTACCAAATAAAGCAAATATACCAACTGCACGAATAACTGCCAATAAATTGTTGATTTCACTATTCATTGTGTCAAACACTTCAAATGTTTGTTAGCTTTTCTCCAGTTTACCTTTCCTACCTCACTTAACTGTCTCAGTAATAATGTTAATAAACACGCAGAGCATAGTGACTACGAGTTTGTGATCATTTCGATACCTTCAAGGGGCATGCAGATGACGGGAGTGCGCACAGGTCCAGCTAGGAGAGCTGTTGTCAACGGGGAGACAACAGTGACACAGTTTACAAGTCTCATTTCTTCAATTCCCATATTTTTACATTTTTTGGTTTTCGGGTTGCTCATTGGACATTGGGAAATCATTTCATCGTAGACTAGCCAGTTAGAAGGCAGTTGCCTAAGGTTCACTGGAGAGCTATCGCTTAGATTCATTGATAAAACTGAAAGCGGACTTGGTCTAATCTGTAAAAAATATGGTATTTTTGACATAAGTAAGGATATATCAAACTTAAGGCTAAAATAAAGAAAAAATCAATTTACAATAGAGGATACTCTATCATGGTTCTCCCGAGGTATCATAGTTGACAAATTGGCAGTTATAAGATTACCCGATTCCGGATCAACTCTCGCCAAATTATCATACATGCCAGCTACTAAAGCAGCTTTGACAGCTGCCCAATTTTCCGAATTGGCATTGAGGTCACGAATATCTCCACTTCCTCTTGCCTTCACAAATCCGGAAGCTCGCAGCTGACCCAGTAATTGAGTCCTATATAAATAACAGGGTGTATTAGCAACCTTACTACTTTGATAGTAGAAAATTGTAAACCAGACTGACCTCACTGTTGTTACAATATCGAAGGCAGCAGCAGAGATGTAATTCTTTTTGCAAAAACTTTGTTCCCATCCCTCGAATCTAGCCTTTTGCCAGAACTGTAATTGCAAAATAGAAAAAGGAATGATATTTTAGAATTGTTTTTGCTTTTTTCAATTAGAAATTTACCTGGAAAGCTCGCAGCAACACCATGTGATCACTTAGGGAATCAGCTGAGAACTTCTTGCGCACCATTTGAGCTTCTTTGCGTTCCTTGGCGGAATTCGGAAAGATAACTAAAAACATATTGAATGATTCATTAAAATATTTCCAATTGTTAAATCACCCGGGTTTCAATCTGGTAAATCCCGTTTTTTGCTGAAATGAAGATGCTATTTGTGAACAATAGTTCAGAACTCATCAATGTAGAACCTAGAAAAATGTTCTAACTATTTTCTATCTAGATTTCAAAGTCAAAGTGGAGAAATAGGAGGCAGAATTAATGGTTTCCTATTTAATTTGGCGCAAAAAGAGGTAGAGAAATCACAATCCTAAAATAGGGGAGAAAATGACACCGTCAATAGTCAGCAGATTAAATTTCAATAAGTGGTAGAGAAAAACTAAGAAATGAAAAAAAACGAGTCACACAACACCGAATGAAGGAAGAAAAAAGCTGGGTTTAGGCAATAAAAAGTCGCGAAAAACTTCCGAGATAATTTGCTGAAGGTGAATATACCAACTGGAATGATCTTAGCATCGATATGTATCTCAGTGACCTACATTTATATCTAATCGTGGGGTGTGCGATAGACTTACCTCCACGTGGTACACCCTGGGCAACGTATATTCATACGGCAAAAAAGTCTATTAACTGGCAGTTGACTTCTCACTTCAAACTACCACCACCTCACTCTATGCCATATTCGACTATTTTCACAGTACTCACCTCACCTTTTTTCTACCTTTGTGTTTGTCTCTTTTACACCTTTGAAACACTCTTCTTTCCCCCCCCCCTCTCGACTTTTTTCAATATGATGTTCCTTCCCCTTTGTGAAGTCTGAAGTCAACTAAAGGGCTAATGATAACCATCA